TGAAGTTAGTCTATTATTTTGTTTTTACTCCATTTTGTTGTATTGGTTTTGTTGGATTCATGATAAAATTTAGAATTTCATAATATCAGAATTATTTATTTTTCAAAGTTATATGAAAGTCAGTTGTAAAATAACTGTTGCCTGCAGATCTTTAAATATTTTTGATCTATCAATTATTATTAACCACTGGTCATTGAATTATTATTATAAAATTATTATTTGCTTCTAAATTTTAATTTTCTTGACAGAGCTTAACAAAATATTCAAGATGGTGCCAATCTTAAATTCCCTCTGTCAGGTTACAGAGATCGATCCTGAGATGATCTCATAATCCCAGTCGGGAATTTAGCATCCACATAGGTCTTTTGCTGCTGTGAATAGGATTATTCACCTGTGATGCCAGGGGACACCACAAGGAAAATATTTGTAGGAAACAGCATAACACAAAACAAAACACCAGGGGAAGTGAAGATGAGAAATGGAGAAAAGTAGAGTATTGATGATATTATTTAGATATGGATACAGCCATGCCTGAAACAAAAGCTACCTCCCTGAGTGTTCATTTATGTGAGTCAATAAATTCCAATTATTTGATTCCAGTTGGAGTTGGGCATTTTGTAGTCAAAAGGGTTTGGTTAAAACGATCTGTCCTCCTTTTCTAGGAAAAAAAAATGTAGATACATATATTCAGGTCAATGAAAAAATCAGTTATTAAAAATCTTTTTCTCCTTATAAGAAAAAACATTGCTGAGCAATACAATTACTTAAGTCCAAATAACTTTTTGATAATATGATTGTGATATTTAGTAATTATTACTGAAAGATTCTTAGAGGAAATCTTTGTATAAAATGAACTGTAGTAGCTAAGTAGCATGATGGTAATGAGAATTATTAAAAATGGTAGAAGCTTAAGCATGTTTGCACACTTATAGGAAGGATGGAATTGTGGATGTTTGAGAAAAAGAGTTGAAGCTAAGATGGTTTTCTGAGGAAGAAGGAGTTGGGAATGTCAACTGAAAAACATACTCACAATATAAAAGTTGAGAGTTATGTTTTATTTGGCAGGAATTTTTAGGACTTTAAACCCAGGAGGCAGCATCACAAGTAACTCTGAGAGAGTAGGGGTGGGGTGAGGTGGGGTGGCCAGAGCTAATTGATACATAGAAGCTTTGCACCAAAGGGCAGGTAATGGAAGTAAAAGAATATTATTAATTAAAGAGAACTATTAATATAAATCTCAAGCTAAGGAATTTATTGCTTTTCTATTTATGGAATGATGCAAGAATCTGGACTCATAGAAATCATTCTTTTTAGCATGCACCTCAGCTATTTGGGACCAGTATCCCGCGTTTGCACATCCTGAGTTTCCTCAGGGATTGCTGGAGCAAGTGGTGCAGTCTGATTGCTGCTAGAAGGCAGGTATTCTTTTCCTTCCTGAGTTCCCTTGGGGATCACTAGTTTACCATAGGCTGTGACCACAATCACTGATGACTGTGACATCCTTTGTTTACTGATATGGAAGGCAGTATTCCATTTATTAGGAATTAAAATACTGCTGAAAGAAGGAGGTGAAAGCAATAGGAAGAAGAGCCCTTCTGGGGCAGCCCAAAAGGGGCAGTGTGTAGTGTGTTAGGTCAGTGAGAATGGTCCTAATAGCTTCAATTTCCTACAGACTATAGGTGAGATAATCTATAGTCTGAGCCAGCAAGGAAGCCCAGGCTATAGTCAGAGGCTATGTTCAGGGGCCTAGTTAGGAGAACAATGGAGGATATTTGATACAGTGACAGTAAAGAGCCGTCTACACAGGCAGTTTAGAAGACTCCTTTGCTATTGCTTCCTCTGTAAATTCAGACTCAATAATCAGTTCTATTGTGTCACTTTTTTCAAAAGACTTGACCACTTCAGGAAAGCTACAGGGAACTGGTTTCATGGGATGCTTAAGAACTGCAGAGGTTTAAACGGGGAGTGAGGGTAGGAGTAAAAGCAGAAAGGTGGGAGGCTGCAGACTTGACAGGAGAGTTATTGATACAAATAATGGACCACAGAATCATAGCAAATCAGTGAAGAAGGAAGCTTGACAATGTTCTTTAGTTTTATTAATGTATAATTGACAAATAAAATTTTGATATTTAAAGTGTACAATGTGGGATTTGATACATATATACATATTGTGAATGGGTACCCACAATTGAATTAACACATCCATCACCTTGCATATTTACCTTTTTTAAGTTGTGAATGCTTAAGATCTTAACTAATTTCAGTGATGTAATACAGGATTGTCAACTAGTCACCACATTATGCATTAGATCCTCAGAACTTATTCATCTTATAACTGGAAGTTTGTACCATTTTACCAACTTCTCAACATTTCTCCTATCCTCAAGCCATTCTACTGAACTCTGTTTCTATGAGTTCAATTTTCTTTTTTTTAGAGGAGGAGAGGTTTCTACATACAATTAATGCCAAATAGTTATTTGTCTTTCTCTGACTTATTTCACTTAATGTTCTCTTGCTTCATCCATGCTATAACAGACGACAGGATTTCCTTCTTTTTTAAGGCTGAATAATATGCCATATTTTCTTGATTCATTCATCTGTCAATGGAAACTTAGGTTGTTATTAAGGATATTATGAATAATGTTGCAATGAACAAGGGACTAGTTATTTCTCTGAGATAATGATTTCATTTCCTTTAGATATGTACCCATAAATGATTTTCTAAATCATGATAGTTTTCTCTTTAACTTCTTGAGGTGCCTCCGTAGTGTATTCAATAGCGGTTATATCAGTTTACATTCCAACCAACAGTGTGCAAGGAAGAGTTCTCTTTCGTCCACATCCTTGCCAGAACTTATCACTTGTCTCTCTTGATTATAGCCATCCTAACTGGCATGAAAAGTTATTTCTCTGTGGTTTTGATGTGTGATTCCTGACAGTTTTTAATGTAGAAGTTTCTCTAGAAGGTATAAAATTGCTTACAAAAATTAAACATTTAAAAATTGGAATTGTTTCAGTTGGGTATTATTTGGAAGGAGGTAAGTTAATGAAGTTGATTATTCTTCAGTAAGATTTTGAAATAACAGAAAAAGAAAAGCAGAAAACCTAATGGCTCTTGGTGCTATAGCAACTTATATTCTGCTCAAGTTCAAAAAACAACTTTTTAGAAGTCTTGAATTTGAAGATATGATTGATCTTTTGATTAGAAACACTGCTCCTTCCTAATCATTTATTTTTTTCTTTTATAAAAATATTATATTAGATTCCCCCAAAGTTCTGCCTTTCTTAAACTAATCAAGGGAATTCAACATAAGCTAGGTGAAAACAATGAAAAATATTTAACTATATCAGTATAAATAAAAGCACCTAGAGTGTTATCTAACTTAAAAATATTTCCAGAAAGACCACCAGGGAAACTTTTTATATGACATCTGGTTGAACTTTTATTTTCACATTTATTCAGGTTAATTAATTGCATATTCTATTAAAGCCTCTTTCATATTTAAATAGTTTTTGTAATAAATAAGGCTAATAAGAACCATACTCAGAAGACATTACTCTTTAATAGAAGCTTCTATGACTATTGAAAGTCAAGAGGACAAGGTTTTATTAACATTAAATGTTTACAAGCTTACTAGTGGGATAATAAGTTAGAATGTTGCAAGTGTATAAATTGTTTTCTATTAGTATGGTAGATTGCACCATGAAGACAAACTAACTTTTTCAGACTTCCACAGTATTGCAAAGTATATTATTGCTTCAGTGACTTGAGCACTGAGGGCAATAAAGTATAATCAGTATATTCTGTGCTAGGGAAAAAAAATCCCAAGTTTTGTCTCCCTTTAGCATAGTGTGAAGTCATTGGAAATACTCAATTAAGAATTTTAGAAATGGTTGGACTTGCTTCTAATTTGTTATATCCTCTAAAGACCAGTATGAAAGTCTTTGGAATTAATAGATTGTTGTGAAAATAGAATCTTTTTCTTATTTTAGCTAGAAAATGTTTTCTTACTGTTCTCTACCAGTACATGAGAGTCCATGGCATTTTATTCCCATCAATGAGGGATATTTGCTACAATAGGAAAGCCTACCATAGTAAGGGTTTTCTTCTTCCTAAAATATTATCTAAATATTTTGAAATCTGATGAGTAAAATAAGATGTTAGGGCAATATAAATATGTTTAAAATTATATGTTTTACATTATGCAATTTTTACCACACACACAAACATTTAAAAACAACAATAACAGCAAAAGTATTGTGGTTTAAAGGTTTGTTACCTGTCTTAAATATTTTCTTTCTGCCCAAAACCTTTTCAGTTATTTTCAAAAGCATCTACAATTTTGTCTGTTCCTCTATAAAGAAGTAAAATGACAATTGAAGAAGAAATTCGGAAGTCTGAGAAATATAATTTTTCAGTTCTTTCTTAACTTCCTTTTCTTTCAGTCATTACACATTTGAAAAAGTATTTTAAGTTTTCAAAAAACTTTCATTGGCTTTAAAACATAATTTTGTTAATATAAGATAGAACAAGTTTAACTTTACTTCTTCAGGAGACATAAAGAGATGGAGTCTGGAGCTATTTAATATGACAATTAGGAAGTAGCATTTATGGCTCTTGTTCTCTTTCTCCATTTAATTTTTTTTTATTTTTAATTTCTCTTTTATCCATAACTTTTTCAGCTTCGAAAGGCTCAAAGCTGAAAGGCCACATCTCACATTCAAGTGTATCAAATCTCTGTTAATTTTCCAAAATACACATATCCGTTTAACAAAGAATACATTTTGGCAAAGGCCAAGAACTCTTGGACTTCCCTGGTGGCTCAGAGGGTAAAGCGTCTGCCTACAATGTGGGAGACCTGGGTTCGATCCCTGGGTCAGGAAGATCCCCTGGAGAAGGAAATGGCAACCCACTCTAGTACTCTTGTCTGGAAAATCCCATGGACAAGGGAGCCTGGTAGGCTACAGTCCATGATGTCACAAAGAGTTGGACATAACTGAGTGACTTCACTTCACAATCCTCTTCAAGAACTACAAAGATGCCATTTTGGAATGAAAAATAAGGGTATAGAAGTGCAGCCTTGACTGTGATTCTTGAATATAGATATAGATATTTTAGCTCAAGTTGAAAAATTAAATGTTATTTGGTCGTTTTTCTAACCAGAGTCAAGTTGTGGGGCACAGCCTTTATATCTGGACATTCTCTTCGCAGTTCTATGTTTAGAAACAAACACAGCTTGAGAAAGTTAGGCAGGTGTCACAAATTAGTAAAATATCATGAAATAAGAAAGACCCAATTTGACTACAGAGTCCTTTACTCTTAGCCATATGGCCTTCAGTCAATTATTCATCTGGGAGCTTCACTTATTTAGAGTCAAATAGTGATTAAACACTTTTCTCTCTTCAAGTACCCTTATGCAAATACTACAGTAAATAAAGCTGTCCTTACAAGACTTACATTCTAGCTGGGGCAGACAGATAACTTAAAAAGATGAAAAAGTAAAATATATATAATTTAGATATTAAGTGAAGGGGAGATACACATATAGAATGGGAACGATGACTGATACATGAAGACTGATATTTCAGATATGGCCCAGAGCAGGCTCCTCTCAGAAGTGACTTCTGAGTGAACTAACCATGCAGATATCTAGTGTAAAAGCTTTCCAAAATGAGGAAATACTTTTCTACAGCTTTGAGATAAGATTCATACCGGCATGTTAAAGGAACAGCAAGAGGCCTGTATGGCTGTTACATAGTGCACAAGCTTGAGGATGGTGGTAGGAGAGAAGATGAAACCATGAGAACAGAGTTACCCAGGGCATGAGATTGTGAAGCACTCTACAGGTCCTGGGAAACCAGTGAAGGCTTTCACCATAGGCATGATGTGATTTGATGTATAATTTTACAGGATCCCTCTGGCTCCTGTGTTGAGAATAGACAAGACAGGGAAGTCCCGGACACAGGGAAGGCAATTAGGAGATATTGCAGTCATTTAGAAGAAATAAGGTGGCTTGGATCAGGGTGGTGATGGTGGTGGTAAGTAATCAAAGTCTAGATACATTTTGAAGATATTTTAGTTAAATCTCATTAAAATTAATTGAATTTGGGAAAAAAAGACATTGTGAGAGAAAATGAGAGGAATGCTGCAGCTTCAGTCTATTCATCTGATAAAACAAAACAAAACTGAGCATCATATTTGCTCTTTTGCTTATAGGATTATTGTAAAATCCATGTTGTAAGAATTAAATAAGTGCCAGTTGCTATTTGGGGCATTTGCAGTATCTAAAATCAGACGTTTTCAGAGCCTGGATGTGCACGATTACATCATTTTCAGGAGGTGCTAAACTTCCTTTTTGAACATACTAAACTATATAGTAACCTGTTTATGTCCAGTTCCGTTCAGTTCAGTCACTCAGTCATGTCTGACCCTTTGTAACCCCATGGACTGCAGGAATGCCAGNGTTTCTGCCATTGGAGTGGTATCATGTGCATACCTGAGGTTGTTGATATTTTTCCCAGCAATCTTGATTCCAGTTGTGATTCATCCAGTCTGGCATTAAGTTAAATAAGCAGGGTGACAATATACAGGCTTGTCATACTCCTTTCCCAGTTTGGAACCAGTTAGTTGTTTAAGGCTCTAACTGTTGCTTCTTAACCTGCATACAGATTTCTCAAGAGGCAGGTCAGGTTGTCTGGTATTCCCATCTCTTTAAGCATTTTCCACTGTTGTGATCCACAGAATCAAAGGCTTTGGCATAGTCAATAAAGCAGAAGTAGATGTTTTCCTGAACTCTCTTGCTTTTTCGATGATCCAGTGGATGTTGGCAATTTGATCTCTTTATGTCCAAAAAAGCTTATTGAATTTGCATTTGTCAGGGATTTGATTAATAAGGATAGTGATCTTCAGAGATCATAGCAACTCTTCATAGTTCATCTCTGGCAGCCATGTCATCCAGCCTAAGTCTGTGTCCTGAGGAATATTTCCTTTGATAAGTGGATCAGTTCAGTTCTGCTCCAGTATGCTCCATCTGGAAATCTCCAGAAATGTGAGAGGAGATCTGTGATAAAGAGTGGTTCTCCTGTAAATAATAAGTGCATTTTATAGCAAGTCTAAAGCATGATATAGTGTTTTCATTTTTGTTTTTTTTTATACTAAAGAATCCTCACATAGACACTTTATTGGGAAAAAATAACTAAATCTTAACTACATATTCAAATCCATCCACAGTTATCTATCAAAAAGCAATAAAGTGACAATTTTCTTTACACTGAAGTATGAAAAGTATTATGTGTTCTGAGTATTTTGGTTGATAGATAAAAGTTGATGAAGGGCTCTATAAATGCTATAACAGAGTTGGACTTTCAGAGACAAGGGGCAGATAGCCAAGGGGATGTTGGAACAACAGAGATAAGCTGGCTTTTGTTATTTTGCATATAGTAGATCTAACGTTGCTCTCGTAGAAAAAGAAATCATCCTTCATTAGAGACACTAGTCAATTTCAGGGCCAGAAATTTGAAATTTAGTGTTAGGAAAAGAAAATAAGAAATAAAATTGAAAGTAGGATTGAATCAAATTATGAACTAGTCAGGGAAGGAACTGAGCTGGACCACCTGTTCTTTGAAAACACCTTCCTCACTGTTGCAACTTGATATATTTGCCTCATTGGATGTTGTTATACTTGTTGAATGCGTCCTTATCATAGTTATAAATTTACATTTTTATATTTGATCAGTATTGCTCACTGCCAATCCACTATATGCTTGTAAATTCCTCCAGGGCTGGTTTTGTTCACCACTGGGAACATTATGCATAAGCTCAGCATATGGTAAGTAAATGAATTCAATCAGTTGTTGAAGGAAATGAGGGAGAAATGAAGGAAAATAGGTCATCAGAGGATCAAGATTTGAGCAAATTAATTTTAAATTACATGAAGATCATTCTAAGGTATAGCTATAAATTTAAATGATCTCTAAAATGAACAGTTTTGGAAAATGAATTTTCTTACATTCCTTCACTATTTAAAAAAATCTGTGTTTATTCTTCTCACTTTCCCATCTCTGTTGAGCAAATTGTTCATATATCTCCACTTTAGTCTTATGGATTATTCTGCTGATAACCTGTGAAAAGCAAATTACTTTGTACTCAATTTTCTATAGTTTTCTTGTTTGAAATATCCCTTATATTTGAAACAATTTAGTCCTTTTTTTCAAATCTAAAGAGCCATCTTCTCTTCCTTTCAATTCCATAAATTTAATGAAATGATTTCTAAGTTTCAGGAAGCTCTAACATTGTCCAGTTCTAATAATTATTTCTTTATAGAATACAGAGGGAACATTTCAACCTTTCAGCTTGTACATTTTGAAACATATATTGTGTCAGTTGTTCAAGATCTATATGGTATTTATTTTCCCATGAGCAATCAAATTAAACAAACTACATATGAAGGGATCTTGGTAAAAGTCACTGCATATTATATGTAAATGCCACTAATAATAATAATAATAATAATATTGAGCTGGTGAAATAGAATAAATGAAAGAGACAACTAGCCAGTCATCCTAAATAATTTTGAGACATATCTGTGTCCGTTCAAGAGCAAAATAGATCATTAAAATAATAGAAAATAAGATCCATATTATCTCTTTGTTTTGTCTACACATGTTTCCCAGTTAGGCTTTCTCAAACTCAAAATTGTATATTAGGACCAATGAATTTAAGTATTCCTTATCATTTCTTTTTCTCACAACCACCTACTAGGCTAATACTCACTATATTTTTCCATTCCAATCCAAAACAAAATAAAAAATCTTTAAATCTTTCTCTGTTGAAGGAGTAGAAGACTGTACTATACAGTTTGTTTTATGACCCACATGAAGTTAAAAAAAAAAAAAATGAAGAATAAAGAAAAAAAATTACCTTTGCGTGAAAGGCCATTAAAAATCAAGTTAGTGCTTGGAGTGGGAGTGGGTTTGAGATTCATAAACCTGAAATTGTACTCTTACTTTCCTTCTAACTAAGCTAACCTGTAAGGACTAACCTAAGTAGTTAAAAACAAAATAAATCACCAAGTTAGATGAAACCCTTATTTGAAAAAATGTGATGTTTTATGGATCTCACAGTATTCAATGGAAAATATTCTTAATGATTTAAATAAGTGTAAAAATCTTATGAAGTGTAAAGGAAATAAATTTGCTGAAGATAATTTCAGTTCTTCAACTAAATTAGTGACAGTTGACAATTCCCTTGATACTCAGTTTTTAGGTGACTACATTTATTGGGAACGTGAGAGTTGATATCTACTATTAACATGAAAAGTGTCTTAATAGCAACCTGTTTACTTTGATGTTCTTTTTAAAAAAATTACTGAAGTATAGTTGATTTACAATATTGTGCCAATCTCTGCTACAGCAAAGTGACTCACTTATACACATGTGTACATTCTTTTTTTATGTTCTTTTCCATTATGGTTGATCACAAAATATCCAATACAGTTCCCTGTGCTATACCAGAGGACCTTGTTGTTTATCTATTCTAAATGTGATAGTTTGTAATATATTCTTATGTTCAATGCTATTTGGAGTTAAGAAGTTTCAAAGGGATTTTATTTTTTGTGAATTCCTGACAAAAAAAAGATCCTCTTTGCATAAAAGGGAATTTTAAACAAAATATTTTAGAATACCATTTAATTGAAATTCTGCAAATTGGCCTAGCAAGGGTAAATATACTATGTTTACTAGAAATAAATATAGTATGAAGCATATTTCTCACACACACACACACACAGATTGTTGCTGTTCAGTCACTTAGTCATGTCCAACTCTTTGCGACCCCATGGACTGCAGCATGCCAGGCTTCCTTGTTCATCTCCCAGAGCTTGCTCAAACTCTGCATATCTGAGATTGTTGATATTTCTCCCAGCAATACAGATAAAACATTAATATCACAAAGTTTTCCTGAATAAATATGTGCGATTATTTGAACTTTTTGAAATATTGTGAAATAAGAAACAGTAGGTGTTTACAATCAAATCTGTGAGTAATTTCAGCTCATTGACTCCTTTCCAAACAAACTCTGATTCTGAATCTCTAATCATATGGGGGCAAATAGGGCAAGGTTACAAAAAATAAATACAAAACCAAACTAAGAAGGAATGATCATGATTGTTACTGTATACTTCAGATACTCTTATTCCCCACTTCTTCCCAAAATGTTTATTATGATATCATATTAAGAAATCCATGTATTTAAGGATATACGAATAACTTTTTATGGTTAGATAAGACATGTTCACACATTCCAAGCTTCAGTTCAGTCGCTCAGTCATGTCCGACTCTTTGCTACCCCATGGACTGCATCATGCCAGGCTTCACTGTCCGTCACCAACTCCCAGAGCTTGCTCAAACTCATTGCATATACTTTGAAAAGAATTGCAACCATTATAAATACTGTTTCTTCTAACTTAGTCAAGCATCATAAGATATTTTACCTCTGGAGGTATTTTTGTTTCCAAACAGTAACAGCTGTAACCTATGCGGCAGGTTCATACTGGAGAGAAACTTATTTCTCTTGCTTGTCTTTGAATTGAATCCTAGAGGATGGGAAGATGTGGTGATTAAACGTCTCCAGGGGTGTTTCAGATGTGGGGTAAGGGCCATTTGCTCATGCCTGAGGCCCAGCTCCAGTACAGGACCATGATTTCCGCCATGTTCTATCTCCTGTGGTTTGGTTATAAAGCCTCATGAGAGCAGTTAGGGAAATAGAAGAAGCTGGGCATAGATGAAATAGGACAAAGATTACCAAACAGCTTGTAGGCCAGATGCTCTTGGGGAGTGGTCTAGGTATTCAGGTCCCTGATCAAAATGGCAAAGAAACTTGATCTACAGGTAGTGCTCAGAAGATGAAGAAACTCAACTGTCACAACCCCATCAGTTATGTGAGGAATACTATTCCAGGGGAGTGTCATAGCCAGGGAGAACTTTTGCTAGTCTCACAGAGTGGGGGTGAGAGGGTAGAAGAGCGTTGGAAAGTGGGAGAGAGAATGATAGAACCCTCGCAGGCCGACTGGATTTCAAGAGAAAGCTCAAATCTCAGGAGGACTAACTGTTGTCAAATTGAAATACTAAAAGAGAGGTTGGATGATACAGAATAAATTATGTCTGTGATATTACCAGAGTCTGGAGATCACAGACCCTTATCTAAGGCATGGAGCCAGCCTTACTGGCCAATGGCAGCTAATATGTCCCACCATGGCAAGGACTTGGCATTGCTATGCATGACAGGCCAGTCTCAGTGACACCAGAAATAGGCTTATTCATATTAGTATTGAAAGTCTAACCATTTATTTTAGTACTGCTGAAACTGACATAGATTGTTGTATCACAAAGTTCAAGTAAGAGGCGCACAGTACTGAGACTGATTTTGGAATGTCCCTATGCGCGCCTGTGTGTGTGTGTGCCCTCAGCCAGTCAGTCGTTTCTGACTCTTTGTGACTCCATGGACTGTAGTCTGCCAGACTCCTCTGTCCATGGCATTTTTCAGGCAGGAAACTAGAGTGGGTTGCCATATCCATACTTGCCTTGAAATGTTTAGATAGTAGCAAGTAGTTTTATTTAACAAAATAGTTTCCTAAATTAGATGAATTCACTAAAATAACTGCTAATCATTTATCTGATTTATTTTTACATATTTTTCTTTTTCAAGCCAGATTTTTAGTGATTATTTCCTAATATTTTTTACTAATGTTTTTTAATGAATAAAATTATCATAGTGAATTCTGAAGTATGGTAATTTCTGTAAATAATCATTTAAGCTATCATTTTATTGTATTAATAATAAAAAAGATGAATACACTCTTTGAAACACATGCACTGTAGCTTCTTTCATTCCAAGGGGATGAATTGATTCTGTATACAATTTCATTTTCCTTGACCCCTTCTTAGATTAATGTTTCTAAATGTAGAAACCCTGTTCAGCATGCACTCTATAAGCTTAGAATATGCTTGTTCAAATCAAAGTTCTCTTGAAAAATCAATGCTGCCTTTGTTGGTGAGCATTTATAAATGGAGATGTGTTCTATGTTTGGAAAGTTCTACTCTCATCCCTTTTTTCTGCATGTTTTAAGGTTTACAATAGTTTGCCAGAAGAAATGATTGGATTTTTAGTGTTTATAGAATACAAAGTAGGGAATCATCTATGGTTTTTATTGGTCACCTACAGTTTCTGAAGAGTTTTGAACAGGAACTCTTATTTGCCCATTTAAGGATAGCTTTTCAGTTGTTGAGAAACATTCTTGTAGTTGATGAATTGAACTGTAATTATTTTCTGGCTTTTAATTACTTCCTAAATCTGCTATGTTCATTCTGCAAGAGTGAGTGTTAACCCAATGAAGCATAGTTAATTCTGGGCTTGTAAATTCAATGATGTTGGGATGTTTCACTTGGAAGCATGAATACTCTGTATACCACTCAAATGACCACATTCTGTTTGCCTTACAAGTGTCTCTGTGACACTTTGTAGGATGTTTTGTTTCTGTGAAAAGGAGGCACACAACTGTAAATTGACAAGGTAAGTAATCTTCTGATTCCAGTAGTTAAATGCTGTTCTCTAATGGATTTTACTTGTCGCTTTTCATTCTTTTTAGCCTTTGTCTGCATTTCATTAGAATGACTTTATCATTCAGATTGCCCTCCTGTTGGTTAATTTTAAAGATGGAATGGTTTATCTTCAAACTATGGCAATCGCTCAAAGATAGAAAGATATTCAGATTCTTCAGGGACTTTTTAAACTTGATTGCTTTTCCAACCCATTTTTCCTCTTTACATTTTT